CGCCTTGGCGATGATGTCGGCGAGATGCTCGAAGCGCCAGCCGAGGTGCGACCCCTGCCCCGCGGTCGTCTCCAGCAGCACCTGGGCCTCGACCTTCTTCGTCTGCTTGTGGACCTCGTCGAGCCCCTTGGCGATCCGCTTGATGCCGGCCTCTTCGCTGCTGGTCGTGAACGCTCCCGGGTGCGCGACCACGTAGGGGATGCCGAGCTGCTCGGCCCGCAGCAGCTCGACAACCATCGCGTCGATCGATTTTTTCCACAACTCGTCGTCGGGCGAGCCGAGGTTGATGAGGTACGAGTTGTGCGAGATCGGGTGCGTGATGTTCCGCTCGGCAAGGGCCGTCTTGAACGCGTCACAATCCGCGTCGGTGAGCGGCTTGGCGTTCCACTGGTTGTTGTTCTTGGTGAAGACCTGCACGACGTCGCAGCCGACGGCCGCGGCGGCTTCGACCGCTTTGTAACAGCCGCCGGCGGCCGACATGTGGGAACCGAGCAGGGGCATCGCGGACGCTCGCGGATTAGCGGGGCTGAGATTGGTGACGGAGTGTGATGATAACCGTCCGGTGGCCGGTCGAGCGACCCTCGCCGAACCTGCGGCCGTCGGCGACAATTATCGGGCTATGGATCGGTCTGACCAGCCACGCGTCAACGTCGCCGACCGCCTCGCCGAGGCGGCGCGGGAGCGGCCTCGCGCGACCGCGCTTGTGAATGTGCGTGGTCCAGTGTTGAAAGACGGTCGCTATGTACGGCGTACCATGAAGCCCGGATCGAGTCCGTCGTATGACGAGGCTTCCTTTGGTTATCTCGACCGCCAAGCGGACATAATTGCCGGTGGCTTGACCGCGATGGGCGTTGGCCCCGGCAAACGCATCGCCCTTTTGGTGAAGCCCAGCGTCGAGTTCGTCACCCTCGTCTTCGCGCTACTGCGAACCGGCGCGACGATGGTCCTCGTAGACGCTGGCCTCGGTCGCAAGAACATCGTTCGTTGCCTCGCCTCGACCGAGCCCGATGGTTTCGTGGCGATTCCGCTAGGTCATGCGCTGCGGGTGGTAAAGCGTAAGCAGTTCGCGAAGGCGAAGCTAAACGTTACGGTGGGTCAGCGTTGGTTCTGGGGCGGCGAGACGCTGGCGTCGGTGAAGCGATTGGGCGAATCCGCAACCCGCATTCCCCAATCCGCAATCGCCCACACCACCGTCTCCGACCCCGCCGCGATCGTCTTCACCTCCGGCAGCACCGGCCCTCCAAAAGGCGTGCTCTACACGCACGAGACGTTCGTCACGCAGTGCGCGATGATCCAGGCGGAGTACGACATCCGGCCCGGCGACATCGACCTGGCGTGCTTCCCGCTCTTCGGCCTGTTCAACGTCGCCTGCGGCGTTACGACAGTGCTCCCCGACATGGATTTTTCCAGACCCGCGTCGTGCGACCCGAAGAAGATTCTTGCGGCCGCTAACCAATGGAAGGTGACGCAGGCGTTCGCATCGCCCGCCGTTTGGGACCGCGTCAGTCGCTACTGCGAATCCACCGGCGAGCGAATCCCCACGCTCAAAAAGATTCTCTCCTGCGGCGCTCCGGTGCCGGCGAAGGTCCTGCGGCGAACGCTGGCTTGCGTCCACCCCGACGCCCAGATGCACACGCCGTACGGCGCCACCGAAGCCCTGCCGATCGCAACGATCGAAGCGCAGGAGATTCTGGGCGAAACGGCGGCGAAGACGGACGCTGGGGCGGGCGTTTGTGTGGGGAAAAAGTTTGGGACGAGGGACGGGGGACGGGGGACGAGGGGAAATGCGGAAGGTGGATTGCGGATTGCGGATTCAATGGATGGCGAGCCCTCGACGGTAGTCGGGGGTGGGGACTTCGACTGGCGCGTCATCCGCATCACCGACACCCCCATAGCTACGATCGATGAAACGGAAGAACTCCCCACCGGTGAAATCGGCGAGCTCATCGTCCGCGGACCCCAAGTCTCGTCTTCCTATCACTTCGCACACGACCCCACCGCATCCATCGCGAGTTGGAGCGTCCACAATGTCGTCGCCAAGATTCACGACGGCGACACGATCTGGCACCGCATGGGCGACGTCGGCTATTTCGACGCCGAGGGCCGCTTCTGGTACTGCGGGCGGAAGTCGCAACGCGTGGTGACGTCAAACGGAACGCTCTACACCGAGTGCGTCGAAGGTCGAGTTAACAGCCACCCTTACGTTCGTCGGAGTGCACTGACGGCCGTAGGTCCTAGCCCCAACGCAGCGCCGTGCGTTTTCTTCGAGGCAGACACCGATGCCTATGAGCGACTAGAACAAGACCAAGTTCACGTTGATGATCTCTGCCTACAGGTCGAATCCCATATAGCGTCGGTTCTGTCCCCGCATCGGTTGGCTGGCGTATGGGCCCCTCCTCAGGGGCTCCCCACCGACATCCGTCACAACTCCAAAATCCGCCGTGAGGAACTCGCCGTTTGGGCGGCGAACGAACTTGCGAAGCGACGCAAAGCTTAAACTCCCCTCCGCATTTAGCCCCCGGTCATTGAC